GACTTACGGTTGATATTATTGTTATGAAATTTCTGTACATAAGTGGTCATGAGAGAAAAGCTAATTCTCATAACTCACGAGGACTTCTTTGGCAAAACTCAATAACGACTATGATGTGTTTTACTCGTTTCAACTCTTTACAACTACACTGTTATTTTTTATTATTCAATACGTACATGAACACATTAAATATCAAATGTGTTATTCGTCTGGTTTACTCTTATTCTATACTGTTATTATAATTTTTAAGTACCAATATTTTATTCATTTCTATCCATTTTTATCCTTCATATTCTCTGCAGTTTGCTTTCATGTTAATATTTTTACATATTTTTTTTACATGCACATCGGGAGGGAATGAACGATAATTCAATGATATTTACAGTAATGAATTTAATACGAATCAGATAAAATTTATTTTATGAGAATGAGATTTTACATTTATGAATATTTAAATATGAAATTTTTTCTTTTATTACAACAATGAAAATATTAGTTACATCAATTATATATTTTTTTAAATAAATATTAATGAACCTTCCGTTTAGATTACCTTTTAATTAATAATAATTGAGAAACACACAACCAAGTATTTTATCTTTCTAAAAGTACAACCTGTCATTTAATTTCATGTAATGATACACAATTTTGTTAATTATTCGCACAAAAATAGTAATCTAATGGTGATTTGCGTTAGAAATAAGGATAAAGATTTTTCCTGAAAATGAAAAAATGTTTTATATTCTCTTAAAGAAAGAAAAAAATTCCATGCCTATGAATATTTCTTGTGAATATATTACTTCTCATAACTCTATCACTGTGTACATTTCATTTTTATGAAGCGAGAAAAAAAATAGCAGTGAACAAGTACAGTAATTAGTTTTTTTCTCTCGCAATCTCTCAACTCTTGAAGCTTATCATCTATGCCATGTAAATTATTCTTGACTCATTAGCATGCTCACGCAAGGGGAGGTCGTCGACGATGATTCAATTGTGAAATGCTGTCATTGAAATTCATTGTGTACCAAGTTGTATAGCTCACGCGTTCATAATTAGTGTTCCGTAATTATTGCATGCCGGCTCTAATCCACATGACAAATTCACAGCTGTATTATCATTCTAAATAATATACCGTGTTTCAAACGTGCGCTCAGGCAATAAATCTAAATATCTATTTTAGATTTTGTTTAACTATCTAATCGTTTGAGTATCGAGGTAAAATACACTTAAAATAATACTTTTACGACATTCCTACTATGATTAAGAAAAATTATAATATTTAATTGCCAGAAACTGACTACAGCTTATCTTAATAACTATTTATTCGAATGAAAATGGGATAGTTGAAGTAATTAGTAATCAACAATAAACATATATTACAATAAATCATTTTAGTGATGTATTTTTTAAACTTTTTATTAAAAAAAAAATTACATGAATTTGGATTTTCTGTAATTTTAAAGTATCAGAGTACAGTTCAAAAGTCAATAAAATATTTTTTATTTACATAGGAAGTTTTCATTTTTAAATATTCAGATCAATAAGTCGTGGTACAGAAATTTTTCTTATCCATTTCGAAGATTTACACTTCTCTAAAGTAATTAATTTGAAATTCAGAAAGTTGTAATACTATCATTTATATTTAAAGAGATATCATTTCAGTATTAATTATATAGCACCTACAACTACATTTTTTTGATTAACTCATACGAACTTAAAATCAAAACGACTTCTATTTGTAAATGTACATGACAGCATAAAATAATCCTGTTTAAGAATATTTGTGATACATTATTAACGCACCTGATAATTAATACGATCGTCTTTGGCCATAAGAAGAGACTCAAGGCACGATTATGTGCGAATATGCCGCGCATACTGAGCGAAACATTACTCGCATTATTAATGAGAATCGTAAAACATCGTTGCATCGTAGTATCTACTTCCATCGTTCGTAGTTGTCTGCTATGTTCTCATTTTCTTTCGTAGAGCCATCTTTTCTTTTTCTCTTTCATTATTTTCATTTTATCACATTTATATATATTTTTCTTGCCATTCTCTTAACTTTACTGTTACTGCTTCACACATCTCGCTCGAGATAAAATTACGAGAGCACCCACGCGAGACTGAATTATCGCGTCTCGTTGCGTTTTTTCTCTCAGCACACCGAGAAATGAAGAATGAAGAGAGAAACGAAAGAGAGGTAAAATAACACACTAGAGATACTTGACCAAGAGATGGTTGACGGAAATAAACCCTACCGGACAAGGCTTCTCAATCGATTTACGGCAGTAGCAATCGGCTTGCCAGTTGATTCGAAAAATAAACATTAAACTTCACTCGTAAAGAACTATTTTTGTTATCTTTATTTTATTACTTTTATTTCTCTTTTATTTTGATGCCCATGCAGCTGACTCACGCGCAACACAGCCTTAATTAGAAACGCGTCGTCTGACCAAAGATTTACGGTATCCATGAGAAGTGAAGTATTAAAAGAAAAAAACCATAAAAAACTCTTCTCCTTGCATTGTCTGCATCGTCAACGTGTCTTCATCTTTGTTAACAATAAAAGAGCTTCGAACAATCTCGTTACGAGCTTACACTTTTTCTTCAGTTAAGTATTAACTGTATAGGTCAAGTTGAATGGGCTAGTCAAATTAAAAAGCTTACGTGAATCGTGATAATATTTTTAGTTTTACACATCAAATTTAATTAATTTGTTTATAACAGTACATTATTTATTAAGACAAGTATCTGATTTCCTGTTTTCCACATTCATAGTGATGACTTATGAATATATTTTTTAAAAATTACTTATCAAAAAAAAAATACTTTGAATTTAAATAGCAACAGAAAAATAATAAAGTTACCAAGTTACGACGGTGATTAAAACTACTAGATAAAAGCATTGAAATAAATTTACTCTTATCAAAAAATATTCGAAGTATGTTATTCTCTCTAACAAATGAAATAGAACTAAATTGTAGTTTTCAACATAATAACAATATTTTATACTCATATTTGATAACACGGCATATTTTTTCTTTTATAAGAGTTTAAAAATGCGAAAAAATCAATGTTTTTATTAAATGAATTAAAATCTCTCTTTAGTTGTAGTTTTTTTTTTGTATATAAAATTAAAAAATTACCGTTTATAATGATAGTGTCACTTTTACTGATGGTATTCATGAAGCATATTATGCATAATAAATAAACTATGAAAATAGAATAACAAACATCAAATAACTTATTTCAATTGGAATTTAAATTCTACTAAAAATAAAGAGAAAATCAATGATAAGTCATTTTTGTATTACATCTCTCAAATGTTTTACTAAAAGAAAATAAAAAAAAAATAATCTTCTTACACAGTATTTTTATCAAGCTTTTAATTAGAAATATTAGAAAAAAATAGGTCTGAGCACACTTTGTTTGTGCTAACACGACGAATTTCCCATTAGTAGTTGTTTATCACAAATTTAAATAGTCATAATCAATGATTGTTAAAAACATTCGAGTCTATGTGATATAAACATTATTTAATCAATAAATGAAATTTTTAATGGTTTATAACAAATTCATATTGTGATAAACAATGCGTAATTGTTAAGAGTCATATTTGGTTGTGAACAATAATGTCTAGTCAATATCGACTTTATTTTCAAATGAAATTGTTATCGTTTGGCTTTAAAGTATTTTAAATAGCTAATCTTTTCATTTTTTTATTAGTTATTTTGTTATAAAAAAAAAAACGGCTTGATCAAATTCGTTCAAATTTCTTTCAAGTCTTCTTTATAATAATATCTTTCGAATTAATTTTGGTTGAAGTTGATATCTTAATCCGTTCTTGAGATATCGAAAACGAAAAAAATGCTGACGTCCGTACATACATACATACACACATCATTCTAAAAATATGTCAGTATGCTTGCAAATATCTTGAAACGTGGAGATTTAATGAAAATTCAAATTTCACCAATCGAACCAATTACAATAACTTCCTAATGCGAAGTTAATAATGTCTGAAACAGCAATCATCTAATTACTTGGGTCTGACCATTGTAGGTTTCTATCACTTGCTCATTCTCATAAGAATACACGAGTACTTCATAAACAACTCAATAGTGATAATGATTCCTTCTAATGATAAAGGCCTTCTCCTGATTTTAATTTGAGTTGAGAAACACAATCCCAAAATGCAATAACTTATTGAACAAAAAAAAGATATAAAATGAATTGTAAGTAAAGAGATAAAAAAAATGGGATTTACGGTTAAAGGGATGCAGTGGTCTTTTGTGTGCGGTTTTATCCCTCGACAAGCTGATCAAAGACCGTTGAACATCGATCATGAGATTCATGAGCATCGTGAGAGATTCTTTAGCTAGTCACGAGTCTTGGCCAATTACACTTGATCACTGTATATCCTTTTTCTCATTCTTATCCTTTACTTGTACAATATAGTTGACGAGTTATCGCATTTCATGAATCGTCGAGTGACTACTCGCAGTTGCATCCGTTCTTATTATTTACTATATCTCTTGAGAATCCTCTTGAAAGTCGGAATAGAATTGTGGAGACCCGGAAGAGAGGCATTTTAATTTGATCCTGTGTACTCTCAATCTTTCTCAGTCTATCGGCTTCTCAGTGGTAACTTGACTACATTGCTAATAGAGTAAACTTGTAGAATTTAATGAATTATACATTTTCAAAGTTTACTCCAACAAAAATAATAGTCATGATAATAATGATTATTGTAAAAATAAGGATAAATTGAAGATGAATAATGTATGGATACCGAGCTGTAAAAAAATTATTTAATTGGATTAATTAAATTTTCATAATTATACATTCTGACAAAAAAAAAGAATTATTTATTTATTTTTCAAAATTGTATCTTGTGAACGATCTTTTATTCGTCTGCGACGAGGTTTTTATTTTTACAATAAAGATTCTACTTTATGAATGTAAGAAACGAATTTGTAAGAATAATGTTATTGCAGGTAGCGACACGACCTTGGAGTCCAGATCAAGGAAAGACGCGGGAGATGACCAAGCTTTGCAACCATAAGAGGAAACTTTTGTTGCCTGTGGCTGCAGCAAGTCCAATTGCCTCGTGTACACCAGTTGTCTCTTCTTCCACTTTACCTGTACAAGGACCTCCCGGAATCCTTGCGAGTGCTGATTCGCCAACTTCATCTGACAAGTCAAAAAAAGGTGAGAGTTGAGAATTATAAACTCTTTTATAAATTCATTCTCCTTCTTTATTTCGGGTCCTCCATTCTTTCAATCTTGTAAATTTTATGAACTCGTAACCATTTTATTCAATTCAACATAATTCAAGTGCAAATATGGCTTACATCCAAATGGTTAAGGTCGGTAATAGGAAAGTCTGCGGTTGATCAACTTCTCAATGACTCTCATCTCCACTTCAGCGACAAACTTTTACGTCAATTCGACCGTAAGAGCACCGGAGCATTATCAAACTTATGCAACATACAGACTTGAAGTTGGCGTAATATGAACGTTTCAGGGTCGTTTCGTATAATCTTCCGGACATTTATCCGCCATTGGTAGAGCATGTGCCAACTTTTATTGGAGAGAGACCAAAAGTTTCATTCTTGTGGATGTCGCACCGCGGGGAAAGGACATTTCTGGTAATCAGCTGAAAAAAGTTGTGCAGACAAAAAAGGGTTTGAGGAGCACATTAACTGAAACGAATCACTTCTGTGGTAGTGACGATAGTACTAGTGGCACTGTTGTGGTTTTCAGTTGCTTTCTACCCTTTTCTACAGCTATTTCCGCCCACCGCAACCATTCATTTGTCAATGCTATTACTTCAGCTTAATAAATTTTATTATCTATATTGTTCTAAAAAAATGTGTTATTAATTATCTCCTTCAATGTTGATTAACACTCATTTATTACTTTTAATAATGATTGTAATCATTTTCTTCTTCGATTCAAAATATTAACCAACTTTTTCGAAATTTCCAAATTTGATAAATTTAAAGTTTTGAAAATTCTTTCATGAAATTGATTTCACTTTACAGAGTATATTTTGGTATTTTTACTTGTGCGTTGGAGTAAAAATGTGTGGAATAGAAAATAAGGGAGATTTTATGAGTTGACTGGCGATGTTTGATGTTGTTTAACGCGCGAGGGGAAGTTCTGTGTACAATTTGATGAAAGAGCACCCTCTCTTTTTACCTTAGGGTATTGCGCGTATAATCTAAAAGAAATTGTGAGCAGGGAAAAGCCCTCGCGTGTCGCTTTATTCTCTTGGTTGCTTTCAAAAATTCGAGCGTGTATCACGAGTGGTAAACGGAACGTCAGTATACTTCAGAGTTTCACCTTTCAGTAAAGCAGCTTTACGTAAAGACCCTTTAAACTTCCTTAACAAACACTCTCGTGATTTCATGAGGGTAGATTTTATAAACTTGATCGCTGTATAAAATTGCCACGTAATCGTTCTTACCTCTTGTCAATTAGAAATGATCTTTAAATAAACGATGAATAATTGATTTCAAATTACATTCCTTCATTTTTCTGCTTTTATCTGATAAGCTTATCAGAGAAATTACTTTAATATTTTACATTTTCCGACACGTTAATTCCTTTTTTCTTAAATCTAATTCTAATTTTCAAATTCAATTAAAATAAACGAAAAATACAAAATTACATTTGAAGAAAAATGCGAGTAATTCCGCATTCTGTATTGAATATTATTTTCAAAATTTCATTAAATATAATAAAATAAAAAACTTGACAATATTAACAAACACAAGAATAATTACATAAAGTCAGCAAGAATCAAGTAATCTTCAATTTTATATTTCTTGACACTTTTTTTCTTTTTTTACTGGATTTTTCCCCTTGAAAATCCTATTCATCATTCATAATTTCCACTGTGCGGTAACGAAGAAAAATAAGACGAGCAGAAGGATATTAAATTTCCGGCCGAGCGGTATTAAACTTTCATCGCGTCATAACGTTATTACGATAGTAGAGAAGGGAATATAGGGGTGTAAAAAAAGGGAAAAAATGAGAGCAAGTAAAAAGTAGTGGAATGTAAGGAGTCGACACCCTTATTCGAGTTTCTCTTCCAAAAAGTCTTAAACGTACACCCCCAACACTTTTCCCTTTTTCTCTCTGTTTCTTCTTTTTCTTTTTTTTACCCATGTATATATATACATATATATAGTCTTTCCATGGCTGTCTATGCTTCCCCATTGCCCCTTTCTCACTCTTTCCTTCTTGACTTCCACCAGCTCCAGCGTATAACCTCGTTCCAGCCGATTCCGCTTTTGCGACCTTTCTTCGTTCTTCACTGCTGATAACTGCAGATTGAATAGCCACCCAACGCCGTCGGGATAATGGATACTTCGATCAACGGAAATCCAATTCGTAATTTCTCCTCATTTCTTTTTCAGGCTCAATTCTTTATTGTGCCGATAGAATTCAGCGGTCGGAAATTACTCAACTTTTACCCCTGTCCCCCTTTTTTCCTCATCGTCCTCGTCTACAGCTTTGAGCCAAACTTTCTTCCTGGAAAATTCTTATTCACCCCTTTTTTTCATCCTACGCTTTTATACCATCTTAATTTTCTTTCAATCAATTCCATCTGTTTCCAATCTAAAAAGATATTATCATTAAAAACTTTTTAGTCCAGAAGTTTGAACTTTATTTTTTTTTTTACAGTTTTTACGTTTATTTCAAATAAATTATTATATTATATTTTTTCTCACCGTTAAATCATAATAAAATTATTCAATTAACCTACGACATTATAGTGAGATTAGAAAATTCATTAAACTTTCAATTCGCATTTAGTGATTCGATTAAACAGTGCGAGAGCTCCAAGCAGTTTGAAGCACCGCATAGTCACTTTAGCACTCGACCGCGTTACCCTGAACAATGTTGTAACTACCTTACACCATCGTCGAAATTGCTTTAATTTTCCTCCTTCCCTCTCTCACTCTCTTTCGCTCCCTCTTAGCCTCCCTCAATGCTGATTACTCAGTAGCCTCTCGTATCTTCCCCTTTACGGAAAAGGTTATTTCATGTTATTGCTAAATACTAGTAATTACCTTAAATGCTGTTAATTCAATCGAACCTCTCTAGAGATTGGATACATAATGTTACAATTATCGTTTTGTGTAGAAATTTCTGTGCATAAATTTGATTGTGAGCACAGTGTTAATTAATAACACATACTAATTACAGCTTATGTGTAGAACATTGAAATGAATAATTGTTGAATAATCAGGGCCATTAATTCATCTATATTAAATATTTTGATAAAATTGCAAGGTTTCAGGTTTCACAAAATATTGCCATATTATAAGTAATTAATAACATTAAATAAGATGCAGTAACAGTTGATAATTCAATAAGTAATTATAGGCTAATAGAATTACGGTTATTTCGAATTTAAAATATTTCTTTAGAGGTAATCAAATACAAAAAAATAGTAAAGTGAATTTTAAAATCACAAATGTTACATTATTTTTTAACCATAAATTTAATGAAATACATAAAATGAAGACCATAAAATTTGTTCACATTTAATCCATCAATTTAATTTAATTGAATATTGAGTTTATTTAATTAGTTTTATTTAATGATATTTGTTTAATATTATAGTTTAAAATAATTTTTATCTATTATCTCATTTAATAAATGTACTATGTAGACAAATATAAAAATTTTTTCATAAGTTGTATCTTTTAACCACTCAAACTAAAATTTGAGTTGACACGAGCAGACAATTATTAAAGAAATTTTAAAATCCATCAAGCACTAACATATAAATCAGCTACACCTGATCGTCGGTTACAATTGTATTATTTTCCTGCTTAGCAATCTTTTAGAATGATAAATTTTCGATGAGAACAACAATAAAAATTATTTGAATCATACAAAAATGTTAATTGTATAGAATTGGATAATTTATTGGCATTAATAACTGTTGAATATACATAATACATAGCTTTGAAAGTCACTTGTCTTCAGAGAACGACTGAATTTTTTGCATCCACTGATAAAACACTTAATATTATGGTTTATATACAGCAATTTGTCAAAATGAATATCCATCTAATGGACTTAAGAGACCCGACTGCCAAGTCGATTAAGTAAGAGAGCGCCGTTCAAAGAGCTACTAAATGTTCTCACAAATCCCTTTCCTTTCATCATCATGGGTTGAATCTACTGTTAAAACACAAAGTTCAGTGAGATTTATCACGTCGTTACAACTTTTTAATTGCACCTTTTACTTCAAGTTCTCACACCTCTTTGAACCTTTATATTCTCTTGATATATTTTTTTCTTCCTTTATTATTATTTTCTTCTCTGCTATTTTTTTCTGCATTCACAAATGACATTTATCGACCGCACATGTAACACCGTTGAAAAAGCACTCGGTCTTACTTTTAACTTCTGCTTTTGTATCCGGTTATATATTCACACGAGTTGTAGTAGTATGTACGTTATAGTGGCGACAGTATTTACGGTGTTTTATGGGCTCGTTCCAACTTTACCAAGCGCCCTCGGGGCTCACTCGACTGCCGCTTCAATTCCAATTTTCCGGCGATATAAAAACGTACCCGACAGCCTCCCTTTCCTATGCCAAGAATAAGAGAAAAAGAGAAATGAGAGAATTGACACGGTGAAACGTATACAGTACTCACCAACATTTTCATGTTTTTCCTTCCGCGAACACAGGATGAAATAAAAGCCAGAGGACAAGCGGTTTATGCGTTTTTTATAGCGCACTCGGTTGGCGTATTATCAATAGCTGCGGTTGGCAAAACTTTTGCACGCCATAAGATCTTGCAAAAAGATACTAACGGATTTTTAAGCATTTCAACATTTTTCACTTCTGTGTAGTTAGTGAATTGTTTTGGTTTTTTTTTTAAGTTGAAAAAATGTGTATTTCAAGTCGAAGATTATTGTTATAAATATCTAAATAAAATAAAAACTACCTTTTTAAATTGTACGCTCAGAGCTAGTATATACATCATCATTTATGTTATTAAAGCACTTGAATAAAGTAATTTTGCTCGTTTAGTAATTTTTATTGCAGAAAAAAATTTAATTCGAAGTGCATATTTCCACTTTTCTCTGCTTTTCATATACACAGAGAGGATGAAAATTTCAATAAATGAAATTACAAAAATCCATTAAAGTAACTCTGTTGTTAAAGTAAATATTTCATCCCTCTAAATTGATATTTTTCTCGAATATAAATAAAGAGCATGAAATGAAGTAAAATGGAATAAAAGTCTGTTAGAATAAAAATGTGAATAATCCATCAAAATAAATATGACGTTAAAGTAAATATGTTTCCCATGCAAATTGATATTTCCCTCGACTATAAACCCATTCTCGTGATACTTTTATTATATAGATTGAAGGAAAGCTTTTTACTCGTTATCGAATCGCTTTGTCGTATGTCCGTTTATTTCGCCCTCATTCTTATCTCGTCCCATCCCACGAGTGCTCAATTCTACGTCAATGGTTGGTGGTTGGATTTTACGGGATACTCCAGGCAAAAGCCGTTATACTCATACTATTACAAAGTCTCTGGAGTATGTATACGAAATATATGTATTATTTATAAAGTATATATCGCGAAAGTTGGACAGGCAACCGTTCTCCCCGCGCATCTTGCAAGTTGGAGAGGAGACCAATCAGCCAGCTCGCGTCTTCTTATCGTAGCAAGCGATCAATAAGTCCCGGGAGTAGGAAGGAATCCGCTCGGTGAATACTAGATCCATGTAGGGGATGAAAAGTAGCGCGGTAGGGGCTGCTAAAGACAGGTGGGGAGAATTCAGTTAGTGAGACCAGTACCGCTACGACACGCTGATAAAGGTTAATTTTGTAGGAGAATATGAGCGTCGTTGAGCCTTATGAAGTGGTGTCGTGTGGAGAAGGGTGATCACAAGGTGGTGGCTGCCTGCATGTCCGGTTTTGATTCCTGCGCGCGGTTTTCTGCGCGCTTTACTTTGCGCCTGCGTATTTACTTGTCTTTTGTTGTAGTCCTGATAATTGTCCGGACAGGATAAGATGTGATGGTGATTCTAATACATTTAAAACTCATTAGACTTCATTACTCAATCAAATTATCTATCATAGATCTTTTAATTACGATCATGCTATTAGGTTCCTTAATTTCATACTTTGCATGACAGTATTATATTATATAAAAAAAAATACCATCTGGATATTGTAAACATTGAATGAATGATTGAGGAAACATTTTATTTGGCGATAATTGATGAAACGACTGACGTTGAGATACTAGAGATACATCAAAAGTCCCTTGAGAGAAGTGAATGTCTTATAGATGCGCTTGAGTCACTCGAGGGTGACAAGACACGATGATAAGGGTTAATTTTGTCGTTGGATAGAAGCAATGTTGAACTCTTATAGAGTGGTGATTCTCAAAAGGATAAGTGGGGATGAAAGCAAGTCGTTTGTAACGATGGACATGCTCGGTCGAAAACATACGAGTTCTCCACCTTTTGTGTTCAGTTGTGATTCCTGCGCGTGTCTCCATGCGCGATTTTCGCGCTTGCGCTTTTGCAATTGACTTGATTCAGTCTGAATAACTACATCATCAGGATAACACTTGTACAATTAAGTTATGAAGCTAAAAATTCAAATATCATTGAGATTATTATGGAGTAGAGATTTTTTATCTCTATCAAAAAAGCTCATAAAGACACTGTAAATATTTTATTATATCTCTTTTGTGCTTAATAAACATCTCCTTGTAGCTTTATAATATAATCAAGTGTGTGTTGAATATAACTCATTCATCATTCTGGAAGATATATCTGTTTTGTTGACTTATTTAATGTGGAGTAATCAAAACATTTTATGTCATCCACAAATTGGCCTCAAGATTTAACGCAAGTCTTCACCCCTTTATACAGAGTATCTAGAGGGTTTGCAATACAAGATTTTGTTAGTAGAAAGCTGAGAACGGGTGATGTTACCGCGTTGACGAGATTCATTACCTCTCTTCCCAACTCTCTTAGTTATCATCCCTTTACACCGGAGAATAATTATTCGCCGTAGGCTGCTGGATAAAAGGCGACTTTCCCCTACCGTTAAATTCACTCTAGTCACTCTAAATACGTATACTCGGGATTTTATCAAGATAGCTGCTAGTTTAATGTCTATACTCATCATCATGGTCTTTAAGATCCTTTATTATTGTATAACGACTTTCTTTAAGAAAATGCTGAGTAATATTTAATTCATTTTCTTATTTTTTACGTAATTAACTGTTACATCAAATAATGAACAACAAATCAATTGAGTAATTTGTTTAATGAATAAATTAAAGAAACTTTAGCAATTAAAATTTATGAATTAATTAAATTTTTTTTGGTTGTTGGAAGAAAATTAAATATTCATTGGAACATCAAAGAAAGCTTGTATTCCTGAAAATATCAGTTGTTACTTGAGATTATCTTGGCTCTGTTAATTACAACGTTCACGAATGGCCAGGTTCGAGGTCTAATTAATCTCGGGGGATTGTTTGAATGGAAGCGACAAAAGGGTAGAGGACAGAAGCGTGATTTTCCCTAACTTGGGAGTTACGTGCTCTTGAGGCTGGAATTTCGATTATTCTGGAGTTTATGCGTAAACTTAATTACAGCAAAGGGTTTGTCGACATTCATGAATGTCGATGGAGAATGTTATACTACGAGCATCATCATGACAAAGAGATAGTAATAATTCATTGTGTCGAACGAGTAATTAATTAAATGTCATTGCGCTTTACAGATGGCCTGAATAAAAAGAAAAAAAGGAAGCTTGGAAGCGTGGGAAATCTTTACTCAGGAGTGTCAGTGTCTCAACTTATTGCGCAAAGAGAACGAGCTATTGCTGTGGCAGGCGCCACGGGAGTTCAGGCATTGCCGTCTTCCAACGGCTCTCAGGTATACACCAAAAACACTTGCTATTAATGGACAGTCTTGATAAAAAATATTCCAATAATGTCTACCATTCTTGAAACATCAATATTCACAAAAATAATAATAAAGAAGTTTTTTCAATAACTGATTGATTTTATTTGTAACTATAATTGAATTTTCTTCAAACTTTTGTTTCAATGAGATGGCTAAAAGACTGTTAATTGACATTATTGATTCTTATTGTTTTCGATAAAGACTGTAATAAAACTACTACTTTTCTTCTGATTCTCGATTAAATTGACATATGAACTAATTACTTTTTTCCCCTCAGGTTTGGCCAATGACTGCTCTGCCAATTCAGCAAAATAATCAACAAATCGGTCATCAATTACTCAATTCCCCTTCACAAAATCTTGACTCTAACGCTTGTGTCGTGCGAAATCCACAACAAAGGCTGAATCCTCACAATATGACGAGCATGTTGATGGGTAATCCGTTGATCATGAATCAACAGGGTACAAACTTTAACAATATGAGTCAACAACAGCAACAGTTGATATTACAACAACAACAACAACAACAGCAGCAGCAGCAGCAGCAGCAACAACAACAACAACAACAACAACAACAACAACAACAACAACAACAGCAGCAGCAACAACAACAACAACAACAACAACAACAACAGCAACAACAACAGCAGCAGCAACAACAACAACAACAACAACAACAATTAATGCAGCAACACATGACTCAACATCATCAAAATGTCATAACTAATCAATTATCTCATCAACAATCACCTCATTATATAAATCAAATGAATGATCAGTCAGTTCATGCGATGCAACAGCAGCATATGAATCAACAACAGATGCATATTCAACAAATGCAACAAAAGCATCAACACCAGCAAGAAAATCAACAAGTTAATTTTAACCATCATGTCAATGATAATTTTCTACATCATTTACAGGCTAATCAGAATTCTTCACAAAATCAAATTCATGCTCAAATGCATCAAATGCATCAGCACTCGATGCAATATCAACAACAATCAAACCAACATATGATGCAAAATCAAACGCACGATCAATTTCATATGCTCCAGCATCAACAGCAACAGCAGATGTCTCAGGTTTGCCAGCCAATGCAATTTAATCATCAAACAATGAGCCACCATCTAGGTGATATATCTCAACCGACAAATAATGGCTCTTTGATGTCCGGAATCAATGCGACTGATGGTCAAGTGAGACACAATCGAATTCCTTCCATGGATGAAGACATGAACGCAAAGCAAATGTCGCAACAACACCAACAGCAACTAATGATGCATAATCACAACATGCAAAGGCATCATGTACAGAATGGAAGTATGCAGAACCTTAGTCATGAAAATATGCAACGAATGTATGTTCAACACCAAGTATCGCAATTCCAACAAAGAAGTTGTGACCCTAAGACATCGAATATGGAGTTAAAATCAGGACATCAGCAGTACATGTTGGTTAGTCAAGCAGGAAGGAGTCCAACTAGTGGAAATACTGTTGATACTCAAGCCATCAACGGAAATGGACAGAATGGACAGACTAACAATCATCATTTCAACCAAAGGACACAAATGTGGCAACAAAATCGAACTATTACTCCATCGCATCAATCTCCGTCATCAGTATCAGTTCAAAATATCACATGTAATAGCCTAGATCGTGTTCCACCTCTACATCATCATATTCCCCCAACTACTCCCTGGACGGATGAAATAGCAAGAAAGAAAGCAAAACCGAGTAAATCTTCAGGCAAGAAACAAAGACATCAACATATGGAGATGAGAAATAATCTTGAACAATCTAGTCCAAGTCCGGATGATGATTTTAATGATAAATCACAAACTAATAATCAAATTGGCTCTACCGTAAATAATTCTCCCAGTTTTCTGGATGATCCTAGTGGGTATTTAGCCCAACAAACGGCTTTATTAAATAGTACAATATCGAGACAAACAGGTGTCAGTTCGTCGCAAATGATGGTAAATACATCTAAGATACAAGGAAATCATGGAAATAATTATCTTCCTCAACAAAAGCCTTCCTCAGCAACAAGTCCATCAAATTCGATGTGTAATTCTGTCAAAAATCATGCAACATCACCAGTAGTTGTGCATAGCAGTATGACACCAACGTCTCTAAATAACAATACTAATGATTCAGATAATAGTTCTTGCCAAGGCTGTGTTACGAGTGCTGATACTCAATCTTATATCACCGAACAATATAAACAACAAATGCATAGACAATATATCATGCATTCTGATCAAAGAGATGATCCAGTTACATCATCGACATTTGGAGAAAGATTTACGAATCAACAAATGGAATCTTGGCCAATTCAAGGTGGAACAATAAGCACAAGTCATGGATCTCCAATTGGTACCAACAGCCCAGCCAATTCTGACATTCCACCTTCATCAATATCTCAACCAGCAACTCCACAAAGTCTTATTTCATCTCAACCATCGACGCCGCACAGTTATTCCCAACCTCCCACGCCTCATTCTCATTCCGGGCAAATTCCACCACCTCCATTGACTCCAGTTAATGGCCAGCAACCATCACAATCTACTATTTCTAACAACATTATAACTCAGGATCAATTATCAGGTCTCTGTTCTATTTCATCAGCATCGAGTTCTGTATCTCCAAGCTCTTCTCCATCACAAATTGCTATCTCTTGTATTTCTGGTCCAACAGAGAATGCTTCTGTCGTTTTATCGAATGGAAAACAAAAACAATCTACTCTGGAAGGTTATCAGCCTCATCCACACACGCTCAATCCAATTCAACGAATTACAATCATCCCATATTCTGGTAATGCGGCTGTCATCACTACGATGGCAAGTGGACACACATTTAGTTCCAATACTATAACATCTGTGCTTGCTGGAAAAGCCAATACTGCTACAGTATCGATAAATACACCGTCAGGAATTCCTAATCCAGCTATTCCAAATATTTTAGCCAATAAAGCACAACATTCTTTACAGCAAGCAACAGCTTCAACAAATGTTGTTGTATCATCTTCAACAGTACACCAATCTTCTGTACCTTCAGCTTCTTCAACTCAATCACAAAGTACAGCAGTATCAAAATCTCCACTAGAAATGGTACAAAGCGTGGTTTCAAGTATTCAAGTACCTCAAGCAAGTACTGGATCGACAATTCAACAGCAGACTCACCAACAGGATCAACAATCTAATGTACACGTTCAAAATGTTTTGGCATCTGGAAGTGTATTGAAGCAGTCAAGTGGTTCTACTCTTCCTCCTGGCCATATTCTTGTTTCTAGTGGTGGACAATTAATTATGGCCAGTACAGGATCAGGAATAAGTGGCGTTATGGCTCCACCACCACCTAAAATTATTTCAAATGCCAGTTCCATGCCACCTTTATCGGTGTCTCCAATGGTAACGAGTGTCACTGGTACCGTAAGCCAAGTGATTCCAGCTGTTGGAGTTGCGCAACAGGTTATTGGACAACCAACAGTCCTAGTTAATACTATTCAAACTCCTGTACTTATTCAACCTAGTGTTATGACAATGGATGGTATTGGACAAAACGTTCAAATACCACATCTTACTGTTGCTGCTGGAAATGTTTTACAGAATGCTCAGTCTATTATTGAAGCTAATCAAGATGTCACAAGAACTGTTACCACTAATCAAAGTATTGTCAACAGACAGCCAACTTTATTGTCTCCAGAGTCTGCAATTAGTAAGAAGAAAGTTTACAAAAAACGTAAAAGCAATTCTCAAACTGTTGCTTCGATGCTTCACATTGCTTCCTCACAACAAAATACTGGTATGCTGATGCAGTCACAGTCAAATTTCGCTCAGCAGAATTTCCAGGCTCAAAGTATTGGTGGTCCAATGCTTCAAGCACTAACAATTGTACCTGGAAAAGGTGGAGCACCAGCACAATTAGTAATGAATGGCCAAACTGGTGCTACATCAGCACAATTTAACACTCAACAAATTATTACGAATCCTCAACCTGCTCAGCAAATTAATCTACTACAACCGGTTAATTTGCTAAATGGTGCTACAGGAATGGTACAAAATTTCCCAACGATTCAACAGTTTATCGTTCCAGGACTAGGAAGCATGGTAATGTCTGCAGATGGTACTGCTACATTGCTTCAAGATACGGGTAATCTTGGAATGCAACTTCAAATCCAAAATGTCAATGGCCAGAATGTTCTTACACCTATCCAAAGTCACAGCGGAATCTTCAGTCCAAGTCAAAGTATCCTTGCTGCAGGTCCAGCAGGAATGGTCATAAGAGCACCACAAGCGGCTGGAGGTAAAATTATTCAACAGCATAGTCCTGGCGCTCAATTTCTTTCTTCGAATAGCGGACAGTTTTTAGTAAATGGTACGACGTCTTTCAGTAATCAATTGAGTCCAATTGTTGCTAATGTCAGTCCAAATCAACAAATGACATTTAATACGTCTCAAGTTCGACCCTCTAATATTCAAGGGCAGCAAGAGTTTATTCAGATGAATGGGCAAACGTTGATGGTTCCCTGTGGTACAGCACAAAATATTGCCGTATCTTCGGCTTCAAATCAACAGAATACAACATTTGTACAACAAAATACTACAATAGTTCAACAACAAACAACTATGGTTTCAAACAATCAAATTCCTGACTTTCAATCAGTTACTACAAACAATGGAAATAATGTAGACCAGTCTTTAAACCTTGACCACAATCAGTCCTACATTTTAAGTGCTGGAATGATTCAGGGAAAGTGTCCAGCTTCGCCAAAGAGTACTATCAGTTCTCCTTCGTCGGAACAGAGTGTAGAGCAACGACAACCGCAGTTTAATTTGACAAGCACTAATGGTAACAAGAATAGTTCAGGAATCGATACCAATGGACAACAGAACGACCAACATAGTCCATCAATGGTTAGACATTCTGTCTCTACACAAACAGCTGGTAATCAAGCAAACAATACCCAGTCGACTCTCATGAGACAAGGATCACCTCCGGATACCACTACTCATAGTCCGGGAAATAGTCAACGATCCAATAGTCCTGCTGTTGATACAACCACTCATGGAGCTGCTTCACCGGCACCTCCTATTACTGCGAGACATCATTCATCATCAACGGTAAATCAATCTCTTATTCTGTAATATCAATCATTTCCTTTTGACGATAATTAAGCTATAGTAATCAAATTCTTATTAATCAATAGAAAACGTTAACGACAAAAATTACATTCAAAGTGCTTTAATTAAAGAAAGTTAGACAATGTTTTTTTAACAAAAAATTTTTTTAGCCGATGGTTCACTGTATATCGAGTAGCGAACCCGATTCCGGAGACATTCAAACTGCGACAGATGACTGGAGAATTCAAGGAATAGCTACGAAGGAAATGACTCTAAGTCAAGCTGGTCTGCATGGAAAAACTCTTGTGGAATCAACAGTGACGACAGGCATCCAGGTTGGTAACTGCGTAGAACAGCGCACCCATCATCTAACCATAATAGACATGCACCAGCCAGCCGATACGACACACCCAGAAAACACATACGCTGACTCACAGGAGCACATGGACACGTCTTCACCAAATCATTCCATTTATTCAGATACAATGGACCAATCAAACGCGGAGGAACAGCTTAGTGCTGGTAAAGACACCGTGTCTGTTTCTTACCGAGAAAACGATGTTCATTCATTACCCCTTCTCGGTCACGGGCATTATCAATCTATTATTTATCAAAACAATTATGTTATTCCCGATGAAAACGTGTTTCGACAGCAAACATTAATGCCAGATCATGCGGATTATACTCTCCTATCTAACAATAGATTTCCAACCCTTCGTTCGATTCAACAACTTTCGAACGATTCAGGTTCCCATTCACAATCTTACAGATCGCTAAATGATAGGCAAGACAATGAAAACTTGGTACAGAAAGCATTAGTAACTCGGAGAGACGAGGGAACGTATTTATCGCCAACTGTCGGCACTCCTAAAGTCATCAACTTTAACATAACTTCGGGACTTTATCCACATTTGTACGACTGTAGGACTGACCCTAATGGAGTTGCTGTTGTTAATTGTCAAACTAATAAACCCTTCGTTGATGGATTTATTGATAATCAATTTCCTTATGTCGATCAATTAGATGAAGGAAGCGACGACTCTTCTGGCGAAGAGTAGTTAATATTTTTATCGTGATAGAGAAATGACATTAATCGTTCGGATTAATAAGTTTTATTGTACATTTTGAGTATCAAGTTTTGTTACGATAAAAATATTTAACATTGTTTGTAATATTTTTTTTATTACCTTTAATCTTTAGTCTTTATATTTATCTTTACGAAGATAACAATTGGCACTAGTTTCTCAATAAATATTAATATTAATTAATATTCATATTTTTAAGAATATTAAGTTTGTAATAAGTTTATATTTTAAATTAAAATATTATTTACAAACATTTTTTTTACATACAATTGATTTTAATAATTGATATAAAAACAACAAAAATTGTCAAAAAAATATTTAAATGTAGAAACGTACATATTGCAATAATATTATTTGTAACATTACTATACAAATGAGTTACGGGAGATTGGAAAACGTACATATTATATTAAAAAAGAATATAATCAAACAATTTCATGCTCAAAATAAAATTTTTTTGAAATAAATTCGTGAAATTAATTTGTTCGCGCAAAATTCCCTTAATTGAGCATGCGTATATCTGAAAATTAAGTTTGCGTTTGAAATTGGCATTGAAAATTGCATGTGTATCAACACAAAAGTATGTCCATTAGTCTTTTATTCTTTCGCAGCCTCTACAGACCTCAAAAAAACATTCTATTCTCATCTCGAAATTCAATTAACAACAACAATCATTTTTATACTGAGAAAAAAAAAATTCGCAATAAAAGCTAGAATGGATAAATTTAGCAGCCGCTTGATTAAAGCAACTCATGCACAAAACAAAGCACATTGATATTGAATTTAAAAAAGAAACGGCTGGTTATTGAAGTTTTTATTTTTTCAAAATATAATATGAACTTTAAGTTTACATAATTTGATATTAATAGTGTATGTTTTAGGCTTTGATAATTAGAAAGAAATTTTTTCCTCAGTGTATCTTTACTGCATACAAAACATTAATTTCATAAATTAATATAAAACATATTGGCATGTACCTCGTAGACTAGTGTATGACTTGACCAAGTTGTATTTGGCAGATCTTTACGCCAGAGACGTTGAAGCAAACCGAGGGTGTGGTGAGCACAGTGAGGTGCGAAGGCAGAGAGCATACCCTCGGTCGGGGAATCAAGCGAAAGCTGGACTCCATCCACTCTATGCACTCGACTCTGCATGAAGACCAGGATGGTCAGTATTGTATTGTATTTTATAGCTCTTAACTCAATGCGCATTGCTCTATAAAATGGATTTTATTCTCATGACAGAAAGCATCGTTAATCCAAACATACTGGTGTAGTAACATTTACTGTTAATAGAAACCATTGAACAATAAACCAGACTTCGATGAGATTTGTACTTGGTGGTGCATAGATTTAAATTCCAACAATGCTTTCTATTTATGAGATATACATTTAACTCTTTCATGCTTCATAAAAAAATCGATAAATGATGTGACCGCTTTTATTACTGAATATTTTAAACCGCAGATTTGGGAAATAAATTGCTAAAAATGTTTTCAGTAGTAAAAATTTATTCCTTTTTTATTATTCAAATAGAAAATATTTTTCATATGAATTCAGAGCATGAAAAAGTTAAAGATACATAAAATCGATGAGCAATCAATGAATAAATTTTCTATCTATAAATTTCCATATCTTCTATAAGTTATTGAACATTCATTTAGCTATTTTGTCTATACCATCATAATAGAGGCTATTGTAATATGCTTATGCATGCTAATATCTAGTTTCCATGCATGAATCATCAGCATTAATTTGCGTAAACACTTGGGTGATGGTTTTGCAGTTAATTACAACTGGCAGTATCATCAAGAATAGCACTTATGAACATTAAAACATGATAATAACGTTCACATATTCACGACCATACAAAGCATACATCAGTGGTTCGTTAAGAAGTGATTGATGAAAATGAAAAGCTCATTACTCTTACATTCTTGCTTTGTCTTCTTCCCAACATTCAAAATCTCATTATTCCATGAATATGAATATACTTTAATAGGTAAGTAATGCACTCACTAAAATTTTTTCTTATTTAACATCACACAAATAAATAAATAATTAGTTAATTATTAATACAGTATGTATTATTATCTTAATCGATCGTTGAATATCTCGATATCACATTTTTCATCATTAATTAATGCCATTTAGAATAATGGCATGTATAAAAAATATTTATGAATGATTGTTAATAAGTATTAATTAATTACTAAGATGGAAAATCGAGAATAATTCGCTTCGATCTTATGCTCATTTCAGTCGGGGTGTGGCTCACACTTTTCATAAGTCATTTTCACCCTTTTAATTATGTACATAAATATCATAAACCTCAATAAATATGGCATGCGGAAGACATCATAACGCAAAAAAATTCATTAAGTTTGTATAATATAAAAGTTATCATTAGAAGGGAGTTTAATTTTAACGGCAATAATTAAATTTTGATTGAATTTAAGATTTTACATAAAAAGTTCCTATCTAAATGATCAAAATTTCATTTAAGCCAAGATTATTTTTCTCATTTAAATGATTAATCTCGCAGTTACATAAAATATTAGCACAAGAATTGCGGTTTTGGGTATGGAATAGCCAGAGGTACAGATACTCACTTGTATCGAATCATTGTTTATTATAACAGTAGATTTCATAACTTATAAATCATGATCATTTATTAAAAATTTAAAATTTGAATTAAAATTAAAAAATAATTGGGTTAAATTGAAATTTTTTAGAAAATTAATCATATTTAATACAATTGATGGAAGAAAGTTTTCACAAAAAGTGAATATTAAGATGGTTTATTCTTTGGCATAGTATCAGAGGATAAGGGAGATAAAGGAAACGATTGGAAACTGAAAATCGGCGAACTAGTGTGGGGTGCTGCTCTAGGGAGTCCGGCTTGGCCCGGCAAAGTTGAATCTTTGGGACCCCCAGGCAGTTTAACCGTCTGTGTACGTTGGTATGGGGGTGGGAATACCCTCACTGAGGTTGAAATCAAGAATCTCAAGTCCCTTTCTGACGGCCTTGAAGCACATCACCGAGCACGAAAAAGATTTAGGAAGTGAGTCGCATACCCGACAGGGATGAACAAAAATTGCTATGATATATTTATAAATGCTATATCATTAAACACTTGTAACTGTAGTATATATATATATAGATAGATAAATAGAGCTTCTTTTTCTGATACTGCGATATTTTATCTTTCAAATATATTTATGTTTCTTTATTGCTTAACAGCTATCACTGCTTTCAAATATGTTTTCTTTATCTTTAGCCAAATAGATATAGCATTTATTTTGCAAATCAACATGATCAATTCAACTTAATTTGATTGCTTTTTAAGTTATTCATGTTATTTTGTAATCTCAATGAATTTCAATTAGAATAATTTGCATGAATACTTGTTAGAATTTGAATAAGTAAATACTTTATCTATATTTATTAAGTATCCTAAAGTATTGTTGATCGTTGAAAATAATATTAAAATTATTATCCTTTTCTTTAGAAGTCGTAAATTAAATATGCAACTGGAGAATGCAATTCAAGAGGCAATGGCAGAACTGGATAAAATGGAGAATAACAGAGAATCTCACAAAGAAATCAGAAAACAATTTGTACAAAGCACAAGATCATCAAAAATAACTTCATCATCGACGAATAGCACAAAGAATCGTTCTAAATCACGAAGATCTAAAAAATTAAATGCTGTAGATTCACAAAAGGTAGTTCCAAGATGTCGGTGATTTTATGGGACCGATTAAAATAATTTATCAATTAATAAAAATAATTGATAAATGGTCATTGATAATTGTTATTATCGTTAGTGTAGCGTTTGATAATTTGGAATGAAAAATACGTGTTGCAATAACGATTTTTCGTGTGAGTGTAAATAGTTTTGAAGAATAATAAAATATGTAAAAACAAATGTTTCTATTGATTAAAATCAGTGGAAAAATACTCATAAGAACGAAAAAAAAAAAATAATGATAAAAGAATGGTTGAAGATAAAAAATAGGGTGGGGGTGTAATGATTTGTATTTGTAAATATTTATACAATGGATATATGTAATATTTTAATGAGTTTGTAAAATATGAATTAATTAATTGATTAATTAATTATAAAAGTAAACGACGAATAATTAAAAAAGAATACCGTGATATAAAAATTCCTTTTGTATCTCAGAATTTTGACCAATTTTTTGTAGAATCATAAAAACAATTTTTCATTAAAATAGGAATTTAAAAAATGTCGAATTTTCCTTAATTTGTATCTGAATGTGATGTATTGCATTATATTCATGTGAACTTTTTGAAAAATTATCTAGAAAGTTTTAGAACCACCAAGGCCTACGGCTTTTAAACATTCAACACAGAATAAGGAAAAATGGTATTTAATAAAATAAATAATTAAATAATCAAACAATCATATATTCTTATCAAGTCTGATGAAACGTTAGCGTGTCTCAATGTACTCCATATTTTATAAAAATAATGGAAAACATAATCAGCAGTCGTTAATCCATTTTATAAACATCAATGTAAACAACAATTGATTTATATTTTTTCGTTTCCGTTAAACAAAGTCAAATATTCATTTGCGAAGTACGAGGTGATATTTTTATGAATATGCTAATGAATCAATCACTTCTGAATCCACGGGTATGTTTGTTCTACGCAAACAATCATTTTTAGAGTCTTTATATATAAAGAAAATATTAGACATTAATGTATGTCTTCAATTAATTCCAAAAAAGAAAAAAAATGAAAGAAGGACATAAACAGAAAGAAATGATGTTACTTAAATTTTCTAAGTATTTTTCAGTAGTTTATCGACGATAAAAGATATTTTATGAATAATATAATTGATCAAATATTGTTTACAATTCAATCAAATTGTTTTGTACAGGATTATTTTTAGAGCGAAAATATTTCATCGTCGATTTTTCGAGTCTTACCATTTCCTTTCTTCCCACAATAAAATAGTAATGAGATTATAAATGACAAAATAATATTTTTGCACATTCACCACTAGAAAAATCTATTCACTTGGTTAATATAAACAAAGAAATAATCCTAAATATTTATAAAAAAAAATGATTGATTATGAATCATAAATGACTACTTATTAATTATTAATTCATGATTAATTAATAACTAATTATTAATTATTTAGATATTTAGATAACATAACTACAATCTTTTGTAGTAGAAATATTTTTTTCATTAACTCAGGTTGTTCATTTTTAAATACCATATAATCATAAAATTAATCAAACAAATAGAAAGGAAAAAAAATGAACAAAACTCTTTGAGACATGGTAAAAAGGCTCGCATAATATGACTGTCAAGTTTTATCCCTTTTTTTAAGAATAGCTTGAGATCATAAGTTCGTAAATATTTTTCTTTATTGAATTATTCAAGATTATACTTTTTGTTTAGTATTCATTGGTCGTTTTAAGTTTCTTTAAAAGTACAATGGAAAATTTTCCATTAAATTTAATGTATTTCTTATTGAATTGAAAAACTTTCTCAAGCTATTTTTAAAAATGAAAAATATACTTATTTGACTACATTTATAATTGAATTGTGAATTATGACAAAATGATACAATGGTGCTAGTAATAGATTTATTGTACACAGAGCATAGACCTCTGTTTTTAGTGTATAAAATGGTATACCGGATCTTGGCTTATATCAACGTATGACAGACAATAAACAATTTATTAATATCAAAAATTGAAAAAATTTATGTTTAATTCATTGATGCATAATCGATCAATAACTTAACTATATGCTTTCTTCACAAATTTTCTAAACATAATTTCTCTATAAAAATTAAATTTATCAATAAAATTATTAGATAAATGGAAAACAAATATGAATGTATTCTAAAAAATCATTACTCATTATTATCAATGATGTAATAAACAAAGAAGTACTTGCCGTGATATTACATGTAACGAATCAAAAATTTATGACTTCAATTGTGTATAATTTTAATTGCGTGCAAATTACATCAAATAACCTTGTCTTCAAAAAGTAAAAAACAAAATGATAATGAAAAATGGTATAGATTTGATTCCAATTTTATAATAAATACAAAATAACTTAATTCAATATTGTGTACATATCGCAGAATAGAATTATTTTTATTAAATTTTTTTGGTATGACATTTGGCCAACTTCTTTAAACATAGAGAATATGACAAAAAATGAAAACAGAATCAAGTTAAATAAATTATTTTAAAAATAATTTAAAACCAAAATGTACATTTTGTGATTTATTTTAATTCTCTTTAATCATGAAATTTCCGTTAAGACTTATTTTACTGTAAAAAGTGTTTTTTTTTTATTAGTATGAGTTATCGAGATTAATTATAGTTATTGTCATAAATGATTGCGATACAATTTTAGTTTTCAATGGAGCAAAGTCAACATACTACATTGTATATTATGTTCTAGAATAACTGTAATTACAAGACTTTAATTGTTCCAATTGATAAGGAGTGCGAATAAAGAAATATGAAATCTTCAGAAAATCGACATCAAAATAATAAATGGTTTATAAAATAATTCATGCATTATTGTAACATTTGTGTATATTTTTTCATTGTAAATAGTAGACTCATGCGCTTCGTGATAAGCAGCATTATTCAATTACCGTCGATGTCAAAGTTCTACTTGAAAAAAATTGAAGTGAAGTTTAAGATGCAACCCATTTATTGATATTTAATGAATAAATAAAAAGGACATACTTATAAAATAACAAAATAAACAAAATATTTCGCGAGATTGAAGATACTGATTTTTAATGGTTTTAACATTTTTATCAATGATTTTAAGTGATTTTAGTCTGATTTGTCGTAATGTAATGAATTAATAACAAACTGTAAAAATAATCAAAGATATACTTTCAGTATTTTTAATAAACATACTTCAATCTTGACGATAGACTGGTAAATAAATGATAAAAATTGAATCATTCAAAATAATGATAATAAACTTATCATTACACTACTTACAGTTTTTTGACTGTATTTGATTGAAAATAATGGATCATATAGCATATAAAATATTTTTCCTAATAACCAGAATGAACTAGAGTTTTATTTTGAGAGTACTACTTCAATTGTTCACAATAGGATATTATTTAAAACATAAATATTAAATATTTTTTCTGGTTCAACAAATGGCCGGCGTCTGAAGTGATGTGCAACACGTTTTAACTAAAAAAAATAATTCTTCCTTTATAAATGAATATTATATTAGTAGTGCAAAGATATTTTACAGTGGTCACGTAATTGAATAATAATAATATTATTATTAATAATAATAATAACTATTATAATAATAGTAGAAAGAAGGCAAAAATTCATTGGAGTAAATAAATAATAATGATTTTAATGAATATTATTATAAATATTAGAAGAAACGAAAAAACAGATAAAACCAATTATACATATGATATCAATTATCATTGGTGTAATGATAAAAGACGATAATTTTATATTTACACGTAGAAATGATGAAATTATAATGAATGTATTATACTATTGTAACATGAAAATATGAAAGAACCCCCCACCCCATATTATATATTAGTTGATTTAGAAAAAGCTACCTTATTTAATATCAGAACTAAGGTTTAGAGCTTAAAGTAATAATTAAAAAAAACTAGATTCAGTGGCACTAATCGGTGTCATTACTGAAAGAAGTATGAAGCTATGTGATTTACTAATTAGTAGCTTTTAGCTGTAAAGACTTATACTTTATTTTGTAAATTTTGTTTATACAGTGTTTGATCGTTCACGCATAATACTATTGTATGTGAAAATAAGTTAATAAATCATTAACACGTGAAGTTAAGCAATGTTTATTATTCATTTTATAATTTATACATTTCATTTCAATAAATTTGTTCATATATTAATTTAACTCTGAATATAAAAGTATATGTAATAAAATGAAAATAAGATCGTTAAAGTTGCTACCTTCTTGTCTGACCAAGCGCAGCTATTTCTATTTACCAACATCCATTCAGATCACTTGATAAGTCACATGCTTCACATTGAAGTGGTGCAATTGAGCTTCTCATTGCGACACTCAGGGGTCAATGAATGTTTAAAAAGTATGTGTATTATCTTCAAATGTTTTGTGAATAGTTGTAAAAAGAGTCCAGTAATTGTATTAATAAAAACGAAAAAAAGACAGTTAAAGCTATATTTAGATATGACTTCCGCTTTGATATTTGAACTGATACGAGGTCAGTAGTGAGACTGCAATCTTGCCTTGTAATCGTCCTATGTGCTATTAGACTACAACAAGGCCGGATGGGAAAGAGGTTTTGTTCTGTCTCGCCTCTAAACAACTACCATAGTTTGCGTAGATTCCCTCGAGATCGGGAATGTAATAAAGCTGACTCGCCAGTGCTGTGACACAAATTTACACTATTCGAATTAACGGTCTCTGTTGTGAGGCAAGGTTTCAAATATACCTCTTCTATTATGAAATATAATTTTGCTATTGCTATGCTAACAATAAAATATACTTTTAGGTATACCTGAGAGAGCCACTAGTGGGATCTACATTTCATGCAGTTTATGTATTCTATTTTGAATCTCACTTAGGTTTTAAAAATAACTTTCATTATATGAGAAAGTAGTTCGAATACATTACTAATTTGTTAGTTCGAATATGATTTATGCAGAGAAGTAATAAAATGTTATTTATATATCTTTGAGTATTATCAATGATATTTTTAATGATGTTATAAAGGATAATTCAATTATTTATAGAATATTTATTATTTATTATCATTGTAAGAACTATAATATTTGTGATTATGGATGGATGCATTATACAGACCTAGAAAACTCTGATTATGAATATCTATTCAAGTTTTAAAAGAAGCTTCAGAGGTTTTTCTGATGCTAATGATAAATGTGATCTCTTTTTCTCTTATGCATATCAAATAATGTAAATAAATATTTTTTTTTATAACTGCAAGTTATCAAACTTTTTTAAAATTTTTCCAATAATCAGTATTTGAAAATAAATAAATTCACTATTCAACTTACAAAAAAAACTTGTTATCACTAGCCTGTTTAGTCACATTGGATTTTTTTTATTTAATACAGTGCATATTTGTTATTCATTTTCTTTCAAAAGTTTTTTTATTTATTAATGTGAAAATATTTATTCTTCTATTTTATCGTCCTAGAAGATTTTCACTTTAATGTAATGCTAAAATAGTGAGTGCATACATAAAACGAAACTGCTGATAAAGTAAATGAAATAATGATTTTCGTCGAATATTGCAATTTCACATCGTCGGTAACTTGAAAGTCGTAATGACGCAAAGCTTATTAGTATGACGTCGGAACTTTGCTGCTCTCAGGAGGAAATAAATTGCTTCATAAATAGGAGTAAGTATCTATCTCTACAGCGTTTGCAGCCTTCTCAGTAGCAAGTAGCTAATGAATGTTAGAAGAAGCTCAGTACACTCCTAGTTTTTTTTTCCACTCAAGCCTACTAAATTTATGCGTCTCTAGGTGGTAACCAGATTGAAAAACATTTTTCAAGCACAGTTAAGGTAATATTTTCAGAAAAGTAACAACTAAATTCATAGAATTAGATGATAAAAATACTCCAAAAAATTTTCGAGGAAAAACTGTAATCAATAATAGGTGTTTCATTTTTATTGTATAAGCATATTTGACCCTTCTATATGCGATTTTATTGCCAACACATCATTTTTAAAGCATGTAGAAACGGATAATCAATATTCAATTTTTAAATATTTATGTATGGAAATAAACCTATAGCTGTTGAATCATTTTTTTTTCTATCTTAAAATACGATCATTAATGATGATTTACACTAGAAAGACTTATTTTTAGATGAAATATACCAGTAAAAGAGAATTAACAACAAATGATTGCTAATTCATTTAATTTAATTACGTATGTAGTACGACAGAATAATTTAATATTTACATAATAGATGGACTGAGTATTAAGACAGGTTTATTCGTAGTTGATAAATATTCAATATCAATTAAATGAATAATTATTTGATGCTTTTGAAGTAATGATAAAATGAAATAATTAGAGTATTTTCTCAGCGTAACGTCTAGTTATGTATTTTCATAATGAATAACATTTGTTATTAGAAAATGCAGTAAATCTTAACAGACAACTAAGTGCATTGGAAGGATCATTGCCGACATGATTACTGAATTATGCATGGGCAACATCCGCGCTCTGTTGAATCCCAGGAGAGCATAACCAATATTTAACAGCTATTAATGCCAAAGAGAATTTACCTTACGGTGCCCAGAGGGCCAGGAATCTCCTCTCTACCCAGCAAACACAAATTACACGGCATATCTGCTATTGATTTATTGGCAGCAGGTGTCCCGATGAAATGTCCTCCCCCCCCTTTTGCCATCCTACTCGCCAACAGTTATGTCAACGTGTGCAGACATCCATCAGTTAGGCTCTATTGAAATATGCATTTACAGACTTTACCAATACTGAGCTTTAAATCCCTTCATTAAACCTACATTTATTCACTTCAATGAATTTTAAACTTTACTTTTTTAAATTTTACAGCAGCAATATTCTTTGCTTACATGCTTATATCTTGCATTAAATTCTAATCTGTCACTAAACTTCAGAAAAGTTGGCGTCCCTTGACGTTTACATATATGTTGAGACGTGATTTATAGAGCTTAAGTAGTAAAACCTTATTCAAGAAGACCTATAAAAGGCCATAGGATTTAATGTTACTCGCGTTTATCTATCTTAAGTTCACGCAGTTGTGGCTTTTGCATTCTGATACAAAATATTGCTAGATCGTTTGCTTGTTGTCCGGCATATTCTCCCATTCTCAAATATTTACTACAATTCATCCAAAAAGCAATAACCAGTTCGCTATCGTAGCTTTATACTGTTTGCTTGTTTTTTGCTTTCACAATAATTGATGGTTTTTTGTTTAATTTTATTGTTTATCAATTTAATCATAAACAGTCGTTATTATTGAATTGACCAGTTTTTGTTATAAATTAATTGACGGATGGTCTCTTTGATGCTTTTCATTTATTTGCATTACCAAATTAAAAAATGAATATGAGTTTTGTTGGAAGTGGACATTTGATTATTTTACTAAATTATGATTATTATAAATTTATTGTTACTTTATTTAAATAATATATTTCACAATTGTTTTTGGAACTTCTTTTAGCTACATTGAAGTATTATTGATGACAAATAAATATATTTTCAGTGATTAATAGTATTGGATTTTATTAAATGTAATTTATTAATAATAGGTATTAAATTTTAATGAATCCACAAGCCATAATGGTCATAATTATAATGGAAAAAGGGATTTAAATTTTCAAATCTGAAAATAAGTTAATCTAATTTTTAACAATTGTTAGCAGTTTTATTAACATCCTAAATGACACAATTAGAGTAAGATTATCAAATATATGTTTATCTTGAATTTTATAAATAAGCTTTCATAATTCAACTGGGAAATTTAATCCTGAAAAAATGTCATAAAAATTGAAAATATCTCATGACTGGATGTAATCTATTGCCAGAATAAAAAACTATTTTTTATTTTTCACCATCAAATACTCAACATTCTTTTCTTGGAATGGAATGATGTTAAATAAAAAAATTCATTATACCAATATATTAAATGTATACTTGGATATTAGTTTTAACGAATACATTCACACTGATATTAATTAAATGGTTGTTATTGACATTTTGTCCTAATATTATATTACCTGACAACTAGTTTGAAATTCAAATAATATATTTGTAATATTTGAATATTTATTTGAATGTCTTTAATAATTATTATATATTCACAAAAACAAATATTTAAATATTACAAAATTATTTTCAATTTTGAATCTTTTAAAAACAATAATTTTTTTTTCAATAATACAATTGTGTCTCTTAAAATTCAATAACACTCTCTATAACTATAATTATACTGGCAATTGCATGATAAAAAAACAATGAGAGAACAGAAATCACTTAGAGGATGAACTATCTAAGATTCCAACAGATAGTTTTTACTTGTGATGAGCAATCGTATTCTGCAACGACACACAGAATGATATTATGAGACAAGTCGTGGCTACGAGATCGATGAGTCTCATATCTATCTCGATTTCTCTCTTTCTCTCTCTTTACCACTCTCGTCTTCTCTATTTTGTTCGTTTTAGTACTCGATTCGCATCTCTGTTACTCTGGCTTCCTTCCTAGTCTCTCTACACTCACCAAGGGATAAGCTCCGGCCTCCAACCCTTCCGACGTGACTTGAATTAACGATCACAATTAACGCCACCATCGTTCGTTATCTCGCGTTCACATAGTCCTGGCGTCGCGCTACGCCGAACCAAAATCGTCCCGACTATCTAATTCTCTCCTCACTATTCTGGATTATCATCCACTCCGATGTCGAAGATAAAACGTCAGCTAATAAAATCGTTTAAACTTAGTTGAATCATTTAGTTCATTTTTTTTTAATTCATTTTATTTTTTATTTTAATTTTTCTCTAAATAAATTCAATTTATCTGATAAGCTTCAATTGTTTAATTTATTATTAGCAGTAATTGCTATAATCAAATAATCGTAAATAATTACCCAAGAAAAAAGTCTATGTTGAAAATCATTATTTGAATTTTTTTATGTCATGATTAAACGACAGCATCTCTGATTATTTGTATTTTAGTAATAATATTTATGTTAGAACTCTCTCGATAATTTAATCAAATTATTTTAATTGATAATTTTATCCTGTCAAATATTTGCTATTATATTTACCGTAGCACCTGAAGACAGAATCTTACGGTAGATAAAATGTTGAGGAATCTAGTTAAATTGGTTCTCTTGAGAATTTTAACTTTTACTTTCTTGGTAACTTTTATCTACTTTTATGTATCCCATTTGCAGTGACCTCTAATTAACCTAGTCGTTTCATATGACTCAGTGCACTAAGTCTTCGCACCCTGTTATCGACAAGCTCTGATTACTAGACCAACCGATGACTTTCCATTCCGTTTTAATGCTCAGCATTTCGCGTAATTGGCGTAAAATTGAAAGCTGGATCGTCGGAGCACTCGACGTACTCCAAATAAATCGTGATCTTGCTGGAGAAATGGGACGAATTGCTACCGACCCCTTA